ATTGCGACATCGATCTTGGCAAAAATCACTGCAGAAAACACGGGCTGCTGCGTTTTCACACGGAGGTGAAGGGCAGTTCAGCACATCGCCGGCACAGCTGGCACCGGCTGTCCCTGCACCCCCTGCACCCCCTGCACCCCCTGCACCCCCTGCACCCCCTGCATCCCCATTCCCCCACGGGATGGTTCCTGCAAGGGATGCTCAGCCCCTGCTCAGGGGGTGATGCCCAGGCAGGAGGTGATGCTCCAGCAGCCTCCAGCAGTGCCCGGACGCACGGTGCATCCCGCACCTTCCCCACTGCCCGGGCTCGGGACCACGCTCACCGGGACGGGGAAGACCCCCTCGCCTCTCCTTCCTCCTCTCTCTTCTAATTTCTTTCTTCCCAATTTAGACTCCTCTCCAGGATAATGCAATAAAGACACGAAGCACCTAATTTTCATTGGGGGACAACAGACGCAATGGTATATTTACCCAGTCATACCATTATGAAATCCTACAATTAAGGCTTCAATCAGATAAATGCAATTACATAATACGATCTTATACGATATAATTAAAAACATCTGCAATCAAACCGAAGCCGATGGTACAGTAATCCTTAATCAGAAATTACCCACCAGCGGCTCCACGCCGCAATCCAGCGGGACGTGGTGGCAGCTCCGGGGTCCCCCCCGTGGGCACGGGTGGGTGCCCCGAGGGGACCCCGGCACGGCCGTGCCCGGCCCCGTGCCGAGCAGCACCCACGTGCACCAGGCCGATCCGTGCTCGGCTGGCTGCGAGCGTTTAAGCAGAATTGACTGTGTATTCAGGCACTTTCAAACACAAGTAATCTTCATCTGGGAGACGGGAAGTGAAATATGTTATTGCTGGCCGCAGTAAATTACCCGTGCCAGCCCCGGCGTATAAAACATTACAGTTGCTGGCCAGTGCACTTACTCACCACGCTGTCTGCATCCCATGATAAATTATGAAAGAAATGGATGCTGGTCAGTCCTGACGCACCGAGGGGGCTCGGCCGGTCACAGCAGCGCTCTGCCCAACCAGAACCAGGCAGAACCCAGTGCACGGGGCCAGATCCTGCCCCAAAAATCACCGGGGGCAGCTGGAAGGAGCGGGGAACAGGCGCTTGGAGGCTGCTTTATCGCCTCCTCCCCGGGGAGCAGCCCCACACCGCTGTGTCTGTCCCCTCTCCAGGACCCTGCGTGGGTGACCTCGGCCTCGCAGCACTGCAGGGTGCTGGTGCTGGTCCCGGGGCAGCTGCTTCGTTAAGGCTAACGAGCTGCGGTGCTGGAGGGCGGCAGTGTCGCGCCCCGCGGAGCTGGGAGGCGAGCGGCGGCGGCGGCGGCTCTGGCTCGTTTCTTTTCCCGGGGAAGGCCTCGAGAAAGCAAAACCCCCAAACCGTAAAATAAAGAAAATAAAATAAATTCCTGCAACTTTAACAATCATTGCGTTGGATTTGGGAGATGTTATTCCTAGTGACAGACAAGGGCAATTATCTGCTATCCGCCAGCAGTTTTAGCCTAATTTCATTACTGCTGTGCAATTCTTCCTGAGCCGCTAGTCTATCACTGTCTCACAGAAAGGATTAGCCGGCACTTTCTTCATCTTCAAATGAATTTTAGCTGTCATGCCCTTGATGAATAGAACGGGAGGAGTGCTAGCCCGTGCCGGCGAGCGCGGCGGGGCCAGGCCACGGGGCTGTGCCGGAGCCCGGTGTGTGTGCAGGACGCTGCTGCTGCTCCTGTGCTCCACGGGCTGAGCTCCGAGCCCCGTGCTTTGTGTTTTGTGCTCCTGCCGTCCTCCTCCCTCTCCAGAAGACTTTTAGCTGCCAGTCCGGGCCACCGAGGAAGAGGAAAAAGCAATTTGAGCTTCAGAGCTGAGACCGAAGGCGATGCTCGGTGGCCACGAGCCACCCACGGTGCACCCTCGGTGGCCATGAGCCCTCGTTGGCCACGAGTTTTTGGTGACCACGAGTTTTTGGTGACCACGAGTTTTTGTTGGCAAAAAGCTCTTGGTGGCCTCAAGTCCTTGGTGGCCACGAGCCCTCTGTGCCTGTGAGCCCTCGGTGGCCACAAGCCCTTGGTGGCACGTGCATGGCAGGGGGACACTGCCCGGCCCCGAAGCCCCCCGTGGCCCCGCAGCGCTCCCCGCGCACCCACCACGCTCCGACCCCGGCACCGGCCCGGGGGGGCTCGGTTCTTCCACGAATGTCAATTCCCCAGCGGCGCATCGTCCCGGTGGAATATTTTAGCACCTTTAATGCAATTTCCTCCTCTCGCTGAAATATCATTTCAATCCGAGCCAGCCGCACCGTCTACCTGCTCCCTAATAAACCTCTGCGACTTTAATGAACTAAATAGCAAATTACTTTTTTATTCAAGAATGAAATTTCATCATATTCATAATTCATATTTTATTTCAGACATCTGCTGCTGATTACATTACATTTAACTAAAATTAGATGATGCTCAGAATGTAATTAAGCCCCTGCCAAATTCTCTGGCCCACCAATACCAGCCTCGCTCAGCGGGGGCCGCTTGGAACCTAATATGTAATTAGGAGCTATTTTCTAGCTGTTTTTAAAGTCTGAAAATTAGCTGCCTTTATTAATCACACAGACAAATATAAAGCGGAGCCAACGCTTGCTGAAATTTCTAAAAAGGATTTTTTTTTAATTATACACCACATAGTGCTGAGACTCATTTTGAATGTTGATTTGTTGTGCACTGACATTTTGACAACTAGTTCTCAATTTGTCTGTCGTAGTTAGGCAACAACAAAGCAGACAGTAATACTTAACTTTCAAAACCTCTCGGCGTGCCGGGAGGGGCTCGGGGCGGTGCCGGGGGCTGCTCCCTGCTGCCTCCGAGCATCCCCAGCCACGCCGAGCCCGTGGCCAGGAGGATGGATGGGGCTGGATGCACCCATGGGTGCTGCCCAGGGCTGGATCCGTGGGGGTGCCCCTCCTGGGAAACTTCTGCCCTGGGGGTGATGCTGCAGCGGGGGGGACATCGGTGTCACTCGGTGCCACCAGTTTTGGGTGGCGATGGCACCGGGGGACATTCCCCGGGGGCTCTACGAGGGCTGGCACTGCAGGGAGCAGGACGGGGCTGGGGGTCCCCATCCTGGCAGCCCCCATGGCCGGGGGGGGTCCCCAGCAGCACCCCCCCGGCGTCTGCGCGCTGACATTTCCTCGCCGTCCCTGACCCTTTTTCTGTTCTCTCAAATAATGTCACTGCCTCCTTAGCATCGATTCAGCAGAGCAGAAGGAAGCCGCTGCTGACACGGATTAAAAAAAAATGCCAGCTGTGCCTCGCGGGGCAGGGCAGCCCCAAAAAGAGCGCACAGCCTCATCCTTGGTGAGGGAAAGCTGCCGGGGTGTATGAAGGGATTTCCTTTTTTTTTTTTTCCTGTAAGAAACACCGGTGTCCCCCTGATGCTGCTGGAGCTTTGGAGCAAAGGGAAAACAGCCCTGTCCTGCAGGAGCCAGCTGGAGTATCCAGGGCTGCAAAGTGACCCCAGGAGGGCCAGGTCCTCGAGGTGGGGAAGGTCCAAGGACCCCATCCCGCTCCCCAGCATCTTCTCCTGCAGGCGGAGGGAGCGCGGCTTCCCCCGCCCGCCCCCGTCCTGGCTATTAGAGGCAAACCCCGGCTCGTTAGTCTTCCTGCAAAGCTCATCATGTGAAAAATGAAGCCGAAGAAAAATTAGCCAAATTACCAGGCTAATCCTTCAGCGGCAATCGCTGCTCCGCTCCACATCCGTAACACCCGACGGGGGAGAGGAGAGGAAAGGAGAGGAAAACAGAGGGTCCCCGGGGAGAGCACCCGGGCTGGGCTCAAGCTGAGCACCCCAAGCAGTGAAGGACAGGATTTGGGGGACCCCCGTGTCCCCGTTTGCTCCGTAAAACAAGCACAAGGGGTGGCCGTGAGCTGGTGCTGCTGCCGGGTGATTTCTGCGCCCTGCGTGGATGCCAGCAGCAGGCTGCTGCCCGGTGCCCCCCCGGTAATCCCGCTGAGAGCAGCGAGGAGCCTGCCGAGCCTCTGATTGAGCCTGGGAGGGAGGAATAAATGAAGGGGAGCGCGGGCACTCCAGCGCTCGCAGATGGATGCTAAATCCGGGCTCACTGCTAACAAATTGGGACCGGCTCCAGCTGCTGACTTATGCAATTCTGGTCCCGGCGGCACAGGGGGGGGGGCAGCATCCTCCCGTGCTGCAGCCCCTGCCTCGTGCAGAGATGATTTGGGAGCCTGGGAGGCAGGAGGGAGATGGGGAGGGGACCAGCACCCACCACAACCCCGATCCCTCCAAGGTCACCGTGTCCGGGCTCTGCCCCCTCCCTGTGTCACCTCTGCACCTCCACCACCCCCCAGCCAAGCAGAGGCCCGCCAGACAAGGCTGAAAGTTTGGGGACAAAAACGCCACAGGTCACAGATTGCAGCAGAGCTCGTGCCGGGTAGTGCCAAGGCCTCCAGCTATGGCCCTGGCACAGCTGAAAGATGAGAAATGGAGCAGAGCCAGCACGCAGGGCAGTCGCTGAAGGACTCATACGGCTCAGCAGGCTGATAACGGGAGGACCCACACGTCTCAGTTACGATTTAAAGCAGCAAACCAACATTTTTTTAGTTCTTTTCCTACCAGAGCTGCCAGGCCTTCTTCTAAGGAAAGCAGCTAACGCTGATTAACCCCCGAGACGTTGTTTTGAAGTGAAGTTTCTTCGCAGGGAACGTGGCATTTCTTTGTGCTCACCAGGAGAAGCTACAGACACATTTAAGCGGTGATGAAGGCAGCACGCACCCAGATCCTCACATTGATTACACTGTATTAGAAAACGGTAAATTATTTATCAGGCTTTCTGACTTGTGATTAGTGTAAAGCTGTTCTGGGATGCAAATTGGAATTGTAATTAGACATGTAGAAAACCAGCCTCTGAAACCTGGTTTTATCGAAGCAGTGTACGGTACTTTTTTCCTTTTGTAGCCGGCGTAATTATCAAAGAACACTTTGCACGTATAAAATGTCAATTTATTAAAAACAGAGACAGTTTTATTTATGTCTGATCAGTGAGCTAAACCTGGTCATGAGGATGGCAAGACGTTAGAGCTGGTAGACCTCAGCTTCTCACACTTGATTTCTTATTCCTGCACTGGAAGGGGAAGGCAATCTGCCCCCCCTCTGACCATTTATTATTTGGCTTTCAGTGAAGTTAATTCTTGAGCAGAGCAACACTTAAAAAAAAAAACAAACAAGGACAAAATCTTCAGCAGGTATCGAAGGGATCCCAGCCACAAGGAGTCAGCTTATTTCTGGGGTCACGTACTCACCTCCCAGTTCCATTAGTTCAGCAGTACACCATTAACATTTCAGAAGAAGCTGCATTTACACAGCGAGTGTAAATGCATTCAGGTTTTATGCCTCGCCACTTGCACACTGTGGTCAGCTCTTGAAAAGTTTTTTTTTTTCCTTAAAACCAATTACTTTAAGCTAAGTTTTTAAAATCTGCGCTTGCTCTGTTTGCTGACCCCCTCCATCTCTCCCACCTTTACAGGAGGCACAGCTCTCACCCCCACCAGCAGGCTCATTTAAGACAGAAGCATGAGAGCACGCTCCCCAAACAGATCCCAGAAGAGCTACGGTAAGTAGAAATCCTAAAACTGCCTTTGCCTCCAGCCACCCTCCCTGCAGGTAACAGCCAGAGCCTGAACCAGACCTCGGGCACGTGAACAGAGCCTGGTTACAGGACCCTCTTTATCAGCCCAGAGTGAAAACAGTGATAAATTCATTAGAGTTGTGCTGTTTTTTTTTCACGTTAATTATCCACCTCTTAATTAGTAACAGGTAAGAGCTCTATTTAAATGTTTCCTTTCCACGGTTAATTGCAGTCCAGGAAAAACCGAGACCCAAGTGTTGAGCCCTGAGCTGCCAAGATGCTTTTCACCCCCAAATGTCAAAGCACTCTGCACATCCGCCTCGCCAGCCTCGCTGCACGCCCTCGCAGGACGCCAGGGGAGACGCGGAGAGACACCGCACGCATCTGAAGCAGGAGAACCAAGCCGAGTGTCATTATCCGTGCTGGAATCCAGCCCAGAGCTCTCCTCCTGCCCCTCGAGATTAGCACAGCAGTTGAGAAAGGAAATTCAGAAGAGGATTTTTGAGAGGCTGGGTCGGACTGGGGCCCAGAGCAAGTGCGAGCAGTTGCTCCTGGGTCCTCACCGCGGTCCCAGCTCCCCGAGGCACCAGCCCTGAACCCCAGCACCCAGAAGGACGCAGATGGGAGCACTGGGAGAAGCTCCCAGGCAGCGGGGGCAGAGCCAGCCAAGAGCTCGGCCTCGCCAGGGGCAGCGGCTCAGCTCTCGGAGAGCTCGTGCAGCACTTGGGCTTTTAAAGACGAGGAGGAGTGCAGGGTCACCCCGGGGGCCCCGATGTCGGTCTCCCAGCACTCAAATCCGCACGCGCACAGATCTCGCTTGGCTGCTTCCACGGCCTGAGGGGTGGTGTCTGCCGAGAGGGAGGCAAGAACGGGCAGGAGGTCAGCCAGGCCGTGCCTGGAGGCAGGAAGGGGCACCCACGTTCATCCCAGTGCCGAGCTGGGCGGGCAGAGGGGCACTGACCTGGTCGCAGCAGGGTGATGCCGCAGCCGCCGCCGCCAGCGCCGGTGAGCTTGCTGTGCAGGCCGTGCGAGGCCGTCACCCGGCACAGCCGGTCCAGGGAGGGGTGGCCGACCCCGATCACGTTCAGGTGGTGCTGGTTGATGTCGAAGAGTTCCTAAAAGAGATTGCACAGAGAGGAGGTGAGCACATGCAGTGGCAGCAGCAATTCCTGGCCATGGATCCTTCCTCGGGAAGCTGTGGGGGGCTGCCCTAAGTTCCCGGCCACCCGACAGCCACCTCGTGTCCATGGGGAGCTTGGCCACCAGCACATCTTGGGGTCCAGCAAGGTTGAGGCCAGTGCCTGAGCCCCGTGTTGCTCCTCTGACCCCATCCCCATGATTTGTGCTGCTCCTGCCCATCACTGTGACAGCGGTACAGCAGCTTCTGGGCCTCCTCACTCAGGAGGGAGAAAGTCCTGGTCGCAGCAAGCTGCTCACAGATGTTTATTCCAGGCCCTAAATCAGAACTTTCCGATGCCTCCCGACTGTTTTGCCTCTCCCCTGTCACACAAGTGCTGAGCCGGGGGCTGTGGGAAGGGCACTGAGCCAGCACCTCTCGCTGCTGGCTGTCACCCCTGCGATCCATCCAGCACCACTAAATCCAGGGCTCTGGCACAGCCGGGTCAGAAGCAGCCCTGCTGGAGAGGCGACGTGGAGTCACCTCCCTGGGCCTGCGGTGTGCAACGATTCCCCTCTGTGTGGGCTGCAAGCCAGGGGGCCTCTCACCAGCACCACGCCGGGCTCCTGGCACAAGTGGGGTCAAGAGGAGCTCCTCTGGGAGCAGCACGAGCTCTCCCAGCAGGGCTGCCTGCACGGCTCCGTGCCAGCCCCCAGCACCGCTGCTCCTGGGGACAAAGCCTGAACGCCCCAGGTGACAACAGCAAGAAGCAGGGCTCCAGAACAGGTTCCGGAACAGCCAGATGTGTGCACACGTAGGTGCTGCATGTGGTCGATGCTAAACCCAGATGCTAAAAGGAGCCGCACTGCTGTACCGATGGGTTGCTCAGCACCCGTGGCCAGGTTTCCCTCAGCTGGGCACCACCCCGCGTCCTCACCCCACACGGGGCGGTGCTGCAGCGCTGCCGGCACCGCCACGAGCTCCCCCCGCTCGGCAGCAGCCTCTGCTCCTCTGCACAAAGCCAAGCCGAACGCAGATCTCGGCGTGCACCTCATGCATCAACGTCAGGTCAGCTCTGGGCACAGCTCCGTTTGTCATCCTCTGGAGCCAGGACGAGCGCCGAGCGCTGGGAGCTGGCTCGTGAGCAGCCCCTCGAGCTGGGCTCCCCGCTCTCCGCTCCAGCCCTGGCAGTGACGGAGCAGCAGACGAGTGAGGCTGCCCAAACACACCCCAAAGTGTGTTTCCTTTTCCAAGGAAACAAAACCTTTAGGGCTGCAAGTCCCCAGAGCGCCGGGTCCTGCTCCCTCCCTCCCTGTCCTCCGTGCTGCGGGAAGACACAAAGAGCATTTTCTGTCCCCCAGCTCCCAGAAGGGCATTAAGAGCAGCGCACACAGACCACAATTCCACTCCGACCTGAACGCTTCCTGCTATCAAATTCTTTCTTAGCCCTAATGGTCTTTAAATGACATTTTGATGTTCAACAGTAACGGCATCTAAAAATACTGGCGAACGAGCCCCTTACCTCCAGCACAGGGTAATGCTCCGGTGATGGATTTGCAGGCATCGCTTCCAGAACACTTTGGCACTCCTGAGAAATGGCATCGATGGAGTCCAGCACCGGGTTCATTATAGCCGGGAACTGAGAAGCAGAGAGGCGAGATGTGAGCAGACTGCTCGCTGGACCTAACGCCACCCTGAGAAAGCCGCCCCAGCCCGCTGGAGCTGGGCAATTCCTCGCCCCACGCAGGGCTGCTCGCTCACAGAAAAACCCAGGGCAGAGCAGGGCAGTGCCCAGGTGCTCACAGCTGCAAAAACTGGAGGAAGAGAGGGAAACAGAGGGAAACTGGCCAGAGAAAGGAGCTGTTCTGCTTGATGGCTGCACACTGGTGATTTTTGCAACGAGCCCCATGTGCTGGAGGGAGGGAAGCTCAACTCCAGTCCCCAGGTGTTTGCTAGGAGCAAGCTTGAATGCAACAACCCCGAGAGCTCACGAGAAGCTCCCTGCGAGCCCAGCAGGAGATCAGAGCTCAGCAGGACACTAGGGTTACCTCCCCCCAGTGCACGCCCCCATCCCCAGTGGCCACGCAGGCTGCTGCACCTTCAGGATCTTCTCCTTGACCCCCGTCACCAGGACCTTGGTGCTTCGTGGGACTTTGGTGTTGGTCAGCAGGATCCTCAGCGTCGGCACCCTGCGAGCAATGAGACACGGTCAAACCCCCTTCCTTCAGCAAAGCCCCACAGCTCCCGAGCCCACCGGGCCTCTCGGGGTTTTCCTTTGAGCATGACAAAGACGAGGGTCCCATTAATTTGGGGGAAGTTAGGCAGGTGCTCAAGCACCAGCTGGATTCAGACTTGTTCCTCTGGGTTACAACGAACAACTCTACCAGCACAACAAACGGGACCAACGTATTTACTGAAATCCGTGTTTTCCAAGTAAAATCTTTCCTTTGAAATACTGCGAGGCTGGCCAGCAGTGGCCATTAGCCACTAATAAAGCAATTTCATGCACTGGGGAAGATTTTAATGGAGTCAGATTATCCTCCCGTGGCAGGAGGCATTCAGGGCCCGGCCCTGCCCTCTGCAGCTCGCTTTTTACGCAGCGCTGCCATCAGGTACGCGAGAAGTTTCCCCCCTCCCCACAATGTCATTCGCTGCCAGGAGCAGGATCCGCTCCTGCTGCCCATAATGCCATGAAATTAATATTGATCCCCTGCGCCGCGTTCATCTGATGTGGGATAACGACCAAACGTTTTGTTGTTCTCGCCCACCCCGCACCGAGGCAGACGCTCAGGCTCCCCACACCCGGGACAAAAATGTGGCCGCGGAGCCCCGCAGCCTCGTGCAGTGCCACATCCACCCGAGGCACTGCTGCCACGTCCCACCCCCTGCACCTAGGAGTTATTTTTAAGCTCCAGCATTACCTCTTTAACGCTTTGATTTTTCCTGATTGGTATCTCAGGGCTCCACCTAAAGTGAAACACATGCATTGTCTCAGCACACAGCCCGCCGAGATAAGGCGGTATTGTACGAGACAGAAGGTCTTTCATCTTCAGAACCTCACCCAGAGCACATGACAGTAATTGCAAGGAACACCAGCTAAATGAACCATGTTCGCAGGCAGCATGAATCTGCCCGGCCCCGCTGACTTAATGAGAGGGTCTCGCTGGACACAGTTAACCCGGTGACTTTCCCTCTGACCTCCTCTGCTTCAGGATCACGTTCATTTATTTATTTTTCCAAAGGCAAAGAGTTTGGCCAGCATTAAATCTTTGCTGAAAGAGACTCCAGCAATGATTCCCCGGGGTAGAGCCAAGCGTGCTGGTTTCAGACGGGACTGGACGCGTGTGCTGGTGTCAGCAGCTGTCTGCTAGCAGGGAACTTCCCCGTGCTGGACGATTCTTGCCTGGCTCCTGCTTCACCAAGGCACTGCGATTAGGTCTCATTAGAAAGATTACCGAAAGGAAAAGGACACTTCCCAAACACTTGGAAGTCTCTGCTAATTGAAGCTGCGTGACAGCTGTCCGAGTGCATTTTCTCCTGCCTGATCCCGGGGGCAGGATTACGTCCCTTTGTTCGGACCAGAACGTCTCGGCTCCTTGCAGCAGGGTCTCTGCCCCAGCAGCACCTGCCCGGGGGATGCAGACCCCCGGTGTAAACGCAGGTCTGCCAGCCCCAGAGCTGGCTCCAGTCCCAGTTACGGACGGGGCTCACCACCTTCCAGAAGTGGGGCTGCTGTTCTGGCACAAAAATCCCCTCAGCACCCCCGTTTGGGGTCGGGGAGCAGCACACACGCACGTACCCCAAGTGCCAACAGCGTTGTCCACACCCGAGGGATTGCCGTGGATCACCCGCTCCCCCTGGAAGGCCCAGCTGTTGATCAGAGTCATCTCTTCTTCTGTCCACCTGGAAGGCAAGAAAAAGACTCAAAACCACCCAAAACAGCGCACAAGGAGCGACAGAGAGACGCACGGAGAGCACAGCACACCCAGAAGCAGATCAGGGTCAGCTCGCTGTGCACCCAGCCCCATCCACACCTCCCAACACTGTGGTACCACACTGTCCCCTGAGATCCTGCTCACCGACACTGCAGGACAGCGAGTTTACACGTAGATGAGAAGAGAACCCCAAAAGTTGCACCTCGCACAGGCAGCCCCAGCCTCTAATTGCCAGCTGCTCAGCCGCAGAAGCCTCACAAATTGGGTCAGAGGATGTCACTGGAAGCGATGCTCGAGCAAAGGCTTTGATTTTTAGGGATTAACTCCTAACACTTCAAGCCACGCTGGGTGCTGGCACTTAAAACACAAAAGGGAAGCAAATGCCGAGGTGTTTATGCTGAGAGACAGAGGAACGGGCTCTCTGTGGCCCTGAAAGCAGTCACACAGACTGCTAAGTGCTTGCAGAGGTTAAACGCTGGCTGAAGGGCTCGGTGCTGGGTCAGGCTCGGCCAGGATCGAGGCCCCTGACCGAACACATCAATTAAGGGGCTGCAGCAGCACAAAAACCCATCCCGGAGCTGCCGGTTGCAGAGTGGTTTAATGCTCCGTGGGATCAGATAACCCAGCACCATGGACCTTCTGCAGAGATCACAGTTGGCATTTGGTGCTCAGAACACAAACTGGGTGCCGGAGGCAGAGGCACAGACGCAGGATTTAGATAAGCACCAAGCAGCCCTACACGAAACAAGGAGCAGTTGCTGACCCCTGCTAGGGTAGGGCAGAAATCAGGGGAGCCGCCTGCTACCTGGAAGCCCCTTCCTCACACTGCCCACGTTCCCAGGCTGCAGCTGAACATCTTTATCCATCTCCGCGCATCTTTAATTTCACTTGCCAATATTTAATCTGCGAAGCATTCAGGAAAACAGCTCACACCACCGCTACTCAAAATAGAAGCGCAGTTTGCTGTAAACCACTTGTTTTTAATCCTCTTTGAGAGGCTGCGATTCTTCTCGACGCAGGAGTCATTATATCACGCTGTTCTTTTCTTGCAATGTTAAGCAAAAACCTTCTGAAGTCTGACACCCCCATCTCTCACTTACCCCTCTGCACGCCAGCTGGAAGAAAAAAAAAATTACGCTGTATTCAAGCTGAAGCTAAGAAGTGTGAGCAGGGAATGAAGACATCCTTGCTGCTCCCTGCTTTAGAGCTGGCCTCTGGTTTCTCACGTCGTGTGACCACGGGGAGGTTTGCACCCGCTCTAGGAATGTGTTTCTGGGTGTTTGCAAGCTCAGGGTTTTGAAGCAGAGCAGAGCCGCCCCCTCTCACTGGTCTCACTTCCAGGCCCCCCCAAAATCCACAGAGCCAACCATAAAAGGTTGCACCTGGCTCCGGGGGAACAATAGAGGGTTCTGCAGCTCCAGCTGCGATACACATCTCTGAGCTGAGCCTCCTTCCACACACAGCAGAGCAGACCAGTTTTTCAGGATTGAACTCCAATGGAAAGCAGGGGAGAGGGAAAGAAACTCCCTTTCAACAGCCCCTGATAAAGGGCAGGCTCAGGCAAGAAATCGGAAGGAAACGTACCACGTGCAGAAAAAAAATCCATGGGAAAGTGCAGGAAAAAAGACAGAAAGGATCTCTGACTCCTTGACAGCTCAAAGCAAAACCTAAAAGATGCTCAGGGACAGAGAAGAAACAGAGGTAAAAAAAATCCTCTACATTAAAGGAAGTGTTTTATTTTCTTGGCAAGATAAAGCTACCTTACCCTAGACAGAGTAAGCAGCGGGTTAAATGTGTGTGTTTTTACCAAGTCTCTGCATCCAGGTGCTTTTATCAGGAGAACAGAACTGTAAACACGATTTGCAGGTCAGAGCCCTGGGACAAGACACGCCTCTGCTGCTGGAGCACAGGCAGCAACAGGCAGGGAAGGGAAAAGAGCTGAGCTCAGGGTGCCACAGCCACGCTCACAACCAGAGCCTGAGCCCAAGAGACGGCCAGACAGAGCAGGAGAGGTGCCAGAGCCAGGATTTGCTCAGACAGAAGGAAAGAGGGGGGCACAGCGGTCACGGTGTGGGATGTGCTGATCCAAACAGACCCCCCCAGCCCGGGGCACGGACCCCACATCGCAGCGTGCTGCTGTCAGAGAGCAGGGCTGCCCCCGTGGCGTGCCTCCCAGGCGTTACCTGGCTGTGATCTCCCCGTCCTTCAGCGGGCAGGAGATGGCTCCACAGGCGTGCAGCAGCGCCGCCGCCAAGCACACCGCGTAGGCAGCGCTCGACCCCAGCCCGGCTCCCGTGGGCAGCTCCGACCACACCACGATGTCCACGCTGGGAACATCTCTGAAACACAAAGGGCAGGCTTAGCGACCTCGAGTCCCATCTCGAAACAACATTTCAGAGGCAGAAGATGCCAATTAGGACCGATCAGAGGAAAAGCTGCTTGAAAATTGGCCCCATCAGCACACACACACAGGCAGGCAGCTGAGTAGCCTCGCCGAGCACCGTGCCAGAACAAAGCCTGGCTGAGTCGGCTCTGTGATTAGCACAGCTCGTCAAGCAGCTAGGAGGGGCACTCTGTAACCAAACACTTGAGTAGCACCACAAAGAGACCCTTCAGAGGCTGTTGTGTGAATTTAAATGTGCTTTAAGTAAAGACCAAGCGTCACAGATGCCCAGCCGCATCGTTACACCTCGCTGGAGCAAGAAGCTGCACGTATCACACCTCGCCCTGAGCACCCTGTCAGTACTTACATTACCCCCAGCTGTGCTGATCGAGTTTAGAAACTGGAACAGCCTCAAGCTGCGGTGACCCCAAGTTATCAAATTCGGAAGGAGATCCAGCTTAGCAGAGGGATCAGATACTAAATTCACAGCGTGTTTCTGTAGGTGTTTCTCTAACTTACACTAAGCCTGTATGAAACGAGCTGCCTGCACCAGCTCTGAAGGGATCTCTCGAGGTGCCCAGAACCTAAATAAAGGGCGATTCCCTTTGATTTCTTACTCTGCCTCAAAGAGTTGGTTTCCTTCTGTGACCTTAAGGATTCGATTAATGCTGAACGCCCCAAACACGTTTATTTTGGGGCAGGAGGCCAGCCTTACCCATACTTAGCTGAAATAGCCAGGCACATATAAAGAAAGGCAAGAATAGCAAGGCTGTCGGGACCAGGAGGCTTCGGCAGGGATTCCAGCAAACTCTTTCAGTGCTTCCAGCAGCTCTGCGCTGGGGGGCTTAGATTCATCTAAGTCAGCTAGGGAGGCAAGCAGGGGAGAATTTAAACACTGAGAGGCCAGGAAATTGTTAAACTCGAAAGCTGCATTGACACAAACAACTCTTGTTAGAGGAGGCAGACACAGACGATGAATTAGTTTCATGTTTTACCTACAAGCTTTCTGCTCGGGATAAAATAAAGCAAGACCTCCACCAGCCACCCTGAGAACCTGATCTTCCCCTGCACCGTCTCAGAGGCTCTCTCCTTGCCTTCGCTTCTCACGTGTGCCCATCCACCACCAGGCCGAATTTGGGAAGCCAAATGCTGGTTATTAAAGACCAGGGACGCTGAGGTGCTTCAGCCGTGTCTGAGAGCCAGCAGCCAGGGCAGGGATGAGCACAGGAGAAGTTCAGGCTGGTGCCGAGGTCACCGACGTGCTGACCCTGCAGACTTTGCCCTGCCAAGCAGATCGACCCGGTGAGGGGCAGGGAGCTGCCACCAGGTCCCGTAGCGGGAAGGGCCCCATGGGGTCACCCAGCATGAGACACTGAGCACCCGGGGGTGCTTGGGGCTGGGTGGGGCCCTTATGGACCCTCTGGTTGCAGCCCCCTGCCCCAACCCCAGGTCCCCCCAGCCCCATCCAGCTTGTGAGGGATGGGACACCCCCTCACCCCGTACCCCTGCCTGTTGATGACCCCAACCCAACCCAACCCTAACGCCAACCTAACCCCAATCCCAACGCCAACCTAACACCAACCTAACCCCAATCCCAACGTCAACCCAACGCCAACCTAACCCCAATCCCAACGTCAACCTAACACCAACCTAACCCCAATCCAACGTCAACCCCATCCCAACGTCAACCCAACACCAACCTAACCCCAATCCCAACATCAACCTAACGCCAACCTAACCCCAATCCCAATGCCCACCCAACGCCAACCTAACCCCAACCCCAACGTCAACCCAATGCCAACCTAACCCCAATCCCAACGTCAACCTAACACCAACCTAACCCCAATCCCAACGCCAACCCAATGCCAACCTAACCCTAATCCCAACACCAACCCAATGCCAAGCCCATCCCCAAGCCAATCCCCTTACCCCAACCCAACCGCAAACCCAACCCCAACCCAACCCTACCACAATCCCAACCCCAATCCCAACCCCACCCCACTCCAATCCAACCCCAATCCCAACCCAACACCAACCCAACTTCCAACGCCAACCCAACCCCAATCCCACCCCAACGCCAACCCAACCCAACCCAACTTCCAACCCAACCCCAACCCCAACCCAACCCTAACCCCAACCCAATCCCACTCCCAACCCAACCCCAATCCAATCCCAACCCCAATCCCAACCCCACCCCCCCCCCACCCCAGTGCCGCCCCGGGCCCCCCCTCTCCCCCCTCACCCCCGAGGCGCTCCCTGAGGGCGCTGAGCCCGGGCTGCTCCCAGCTCCTGAGGACTCCAACTCCGGGCAGGCGGACACGGAGCCGCCCCTCACCGCCGGGCCGCAGGCACAGGAAGGTGCGGAGCCCCAGCGCCACGGCCAGCGCCGCCTGAGGGAAAAATGGGACAAAACGGGACAAAAACGGGACAAAACGGGGCGTGAGCACCGGGAACACGAAGCCCAGCCCTGTCCCAGCCGTTCTGCCCCTCACCTTGCCGTGCACCACCGCGTGCTCCCCGTGCAGGATCACCTTTCCCGGCGCCGACACCACCAGGCCCCGCTCCGCCATGGCCGCCCCGGCACCGCGCTCCGCTCCGGCTTCAGCCGCAGGTCCCGCCCCTCTCGCTCTCAGCCAATCGCGAGGCTCGTAGAGGTGACGGAGAGGCGGTTTGACCAATGGGGAGGCGGCGTTGCGGGGTGGTGAGGGGATGGGGTGAGGCCGGCGAGGGGCGGGCGGGGGGCGCGGAGGGTGGCGGCGATGCTGAGGAGGGCGGCGGAGGCGGCGGCCAGGGGGCTGAGGAGGCCGCTGGGGAGGAGGCAGAGAGGGGGGGGCGGCGGCAGGTGGGGCCGGGAACGGGATCGGGAGGGGAACGGGGGCCGGGGGCCGGGGACCGGGAACGGGAACGGGAGGGGAACGGGGGCCGGGGGCCGGGGACCGGGAACGGAGCCGGGGATCGGGGCCAGGGAACGGGGCCGGGAACCGGGGAACGGGATCGGGACCGGGGCCCAGGAGTGGGACCGGGAGGTTCCCGCTGCCCCCTGACACCCCCCTGCCTCCCGCAGCCCCTCCGGCAGTGCCCGCGCCCCAAGGATCTACACCCGGACAGGGGATGGAGGTGGGCAGGGGGCTGCCGGGGAGCGGGGGCTGCACGGTCCCCCCCCAGCCCTGCCCTGACCCCCAGGACCCTCATGACTCCCGCAGGCTTCTCCAGCACCTTCACCGGCGAGAGGAGGCCCAAGGACGACCGCGTCTTCGAGGCGCTGGGCACCACGGACGAGCTGAGCTCTGCCATCGGGTGAGTGTCCCCCGGTCGCCTCCCAAACCCCGGGGGGCTGCGACCCCGCTGCCCCCCTCACCCTCGACCCCTTTCCCCGCCGCAGGCTGGCTGGTGAGTTCGGTGCCGAGAAGGGGCACGGCTTCGTGGAGCAGCTTCACAAGGTGAGGGGTGCCCGCAGGCCTTACCCGGCCTCCCCGCCGTGTGCTGTGCTCTTGGTTTTACACAGGGTGCTCCCGTTGACACGTAGGAATTTGATAAACTTAGTATTAAAACATTAGAATGAAGCATCCCGTAAATATTTAAGGCTCTGAGCCACAGTTACTGCCCAAAAAACAAACTTGAGCCAGGAAGGAAACCAGCAGGTCAGCAGCAGGCAGATAAACGTATCTACACGTACCCAGATCTGTGCCCCCACACATCACAGCCAGGAGTTGAGCCTTGTCACAGAGCCGCAGGTTTGGGATCAGGGCACCAAAACTACCACCGTGGCACCGTGTGGGTTTTACTAACTGGCTTTGCTGTGCACAGGAACCCAGGAGCTAATTAGAGACCTTGCAGAGCTTTGTGTCTCTGAAACGTCCCGTGCTACGGAGAGATGTTCCTCAAATGGATGTGACACCGAGCCAGCACCACCCCCGGATGTTTGGCACTGCCGTTCTCTCAGAGGTTCCTGGTTTGGTGTCCCACCAGCAACGGGATCCTGCGAGTGCTCCTGCTCCGCTCTCACCAGGGTCACCCAGGGTGGTTCAGCGTGCCAGTGAAAACGAGTACACGCGATAATCTGGTTTCTCATAAAGCAATTAGGGAGCACGTATCCGATCCCTCCTGCCAGCAGGCTGGGGATGATGAACAGCAAGGGTCGGATCCTCTTTAATCAGCACAACCAGCTGTCACCTCCCAGAGCTCGCTGTGGTTGTACCGGAGCATCAAAGGCTGGATAAACGTAAACACCTCTTCTTTTTGTCCTGATTGCCACTTCTAGGTCCAGTGCATGCTGCAGGATGTGGGCTCCAACATCGCGACGCCTCTCTCCTCAGCCAGGGAAGCTCACTTAAGTAAGCCCCGGAGGATTTTCCTGGGATAAGAGGTCGTGAATCCACGCTGTGCTGGGCTGGGGCAGGGAGAGCTGCCCCAGGGCTGCCCCACACTGTGTGCCTGGGTGCTGAGTGTGTAATGTGTGGTTCCACGAGCTGCTCATGCTGTGTCTGCGTGACTCGAGCGATGCGAGCTGGCCTGGGGCACTGCCACAGCTGCTGAGTGGGGAGCCAGCCCTGCTCCAGCAGAAAAAGTGCTTTTGGGGTGCTTTCCGAGGGCTTGCCAATCCAAGAAAGGTGAAAGGAGAGCCCTGTTTGTGGAGTGAATGCTGCATTTCCTGCAGTTGACTCTTCTTTTCCTTCTGTAGAACGAACTGCGTTCAGCGAGAAGCCTGTCCTGGAGCTGGAGCAGTGGATTGACAGCTACTCAGAGCAGCTTCCTCCGCTCAGAGCTTTCATCCTGCCCGTAGGTATTGCTCGTGCCGCTCGCTGCTGGGAGAAGGCTGGCTCTGTTAGGGTAAATCTGCCCCACCACTTGCTGTGGGAGCCGGGAGAAAACAGCTTGTGGAGCTGTTATTTGTGCCGACAAATAGCAAAAAAAAGCACGGAGAAGGACCAGGCTGAATTAAATTCCCATAGTTGTGCATTTAGGTCTCTCTTCCCAGTTGCCTGGCCATACCAGGGCGTGCGTTCAGCTGCGTGTGTGCGAGATGCGATGAGCTTTGCTGCAGCTGTCCCACGAGGCGGGTGGCTGTCTGTCTGCAGGCACTGACGTGCTGGTTCCTTGTCGTTGCAGTCGGGAGGTAAAAGCAGCGCCGCTCTCCATTTTTCCCGAGCCGTCTGCCGCAGAGCTGAGAGGTGGTGAGTGTTGGCTCTGGTGTCACCGAACAAAATTAGCAGAAGATGATCAGACTGCCACAAGTAACAGCAAACCAGAAGGAAAACTCACCTGCTCGTTACCGAAATGACTTCCCTGTGAAGTCACCTGTGTTTGCCTGAACCCGCTGTGCAGCAGCTCCAACCCAGCTGATGTTAAGGGAGACGTTACTGCTGATGTGCTCTCCTTACAGCAGGGCAACCCAGTCTGCAAAAAGCTAACATCTACAGCCGGTTGTTTCTTCAAAAGACAGCTAGAAAGAGGGCTGTACACCAGGCCAGAGGCGATGAGCAGCTCTGTTCCCTCACCAAAAAAGGGTTCCCGTTTACCTGCAGAAAGGCATAATGATCCTTACAAGCTGCTGCCATTACTCAGTGAAACCCACTCACGAGTATCCTTTGGTGGAGCACACCTGCAGGCCTCCAGAAAGTTATGGTAACGATTTGTGTTACGTGGCCACCAGGGATTTCTCCTGGTGGAACTGAGCAGCGCTCACAGCTGCCATGGGGGATGAGGACAGGGGCTCCACGTGAGGTTGGGGTGTGAAGTTTGGTGCTCCAGCAAATTGCATTTATTTGTTCTTTCCGAACTAGAAAGTTAAATGCACTAAATCCTCCCTTTTCTTGTTCTAGTGTGGTTCCGTTAGTACAAGCAGGGGAAGCAGATCCAAACGTGGCCAAATATTTAAACAGGTAAAAAAAAAAATCCATCTACCTCTTTATTCTTGTACCACTGGAGCGTGCTTGTTGTTGTTCCCTTAGCCACGGCACAGAACTGTGGGGTTTTACGTTTCAAGGAGTTTCCCTTCCAGATGATGATCTTTGAAGTTTTAACAAGCAGCTTTTTAAATACGATTGCATGGCCTGTACGTCTCTGCAGACACTGCTGGGGTGCTGGAGGGGCAGCCACCTCGCTTTCTTTGCTCATTGCTTTTCCCTTGGTTTACAGACTGAGCGACTACCTCTTCGTTTTGGCCCGTTACGCTGCAATGAAGGAAGGGAAGGAAGAGAAAATATACATCAAGCCTGAGCAGTGACTGGGAGCTGGGATCTTTGCTTTCTAGATCAGTGGAAAGGTAAATCCAGCAGAGTGCTTCCCTCAGGCATGGACAGGGCAGAGAGCAGGCCTGCGCTGGGAATGCGAGATGTTGAGAACTTCCAACTAAAATAACTATGACCGTGTTCATAAACGCTGTGAGGAACACAGCTGTTCTGCTTGGCCTTGTCCGAGTATCTCTTGCGCTGGCTTCAGAATTATTCTTTGTCCTACACTGGAACCGAGTCAGGAGGCTTTTAATAACTACAGCCGATTTTTAGAGATGTCTTAATTTCCCTGGGCAGCGGCAGGTTCTGTGGAAAGGCTTTGAGGCTTTGACGGGGCTCTGAGGAATGAAGAAGAGAAAACAATCAGCTTCTCTCTGTAAGTCACAACGCCCGTGCAGAACAGCCACTGTGCCGAGATTCAGGAACTCTGTCCACAGGCGTTGAAATAATAAATGTGATTTACTTGTACCAAAGGGCCCCTAACTGTCATGCTTTAATACCTGAGCCCAGCTTGCTTTTCTTTTTTAAGTTGCTTTCAATCCATCAGCCCTGGCTGGAGCTGAGCTGTGTGGATTTACAGGAACGCACTTCGAATTCTTTGGCTCTGGCTGCCTCTCCTTATGCATGTGAAAAATGTCCCCGTGCTGACAATCCCATGCATCCTCTGCCAGGAACGGGCTCGTGCAGGACGGGGATTCAAGGAGGAAGGGCCAAATCCTCCGGGTCAGGTGCAGGAACAATCTCTTGAGTTAGCTGGGGTTAACTCCGTGCAGAGCTGCCCTCCCAGCACGCAGACCCCTCGAGCACACCTTGGTCACGGTGTCCCCCTTTGGCTGCGGGTATTTGATTCCAGTTACCAAATCCCTATCAGCTGCAGGCCACTCAGGTCTGGTTTGCAGATAAAGGGCTTGTGGGGAGTAGCAGAGGCCTGGAGGCTTTTCAGCTGGCACAGCTGGAGGTGGAAGAGAGAGGCCAATACCCACAGATGTTCGTACCCCACACATTAACGTCCCTGGGAGATGCAGTGCTGCGGAGCTCTCAGCAGAGCGGACGTCCCAAAGTTTGGGGAATCTGGCTGCAAACACCAGGATAGGATGTGGTGCTTCCAGCAGAGAAGACATCCTGTCGCAGAGCTCACCTGGGGCGGCTGAGCGCTTCATCTTTCAGAACAGCTGCATGTTTTGCTGTTTTTTTTTTTTTTTTTTTTTTTTTTTTACCGTTTCTTATCATTTTCAGTAAATTTGAGTGTAGCAATTTACACGATACAAGCTTAGCAGCCCGATCTTCTAGCAGCAAGCCAAAGGCACCTCCAAGTAAATTGACGGAGCGAGCTAACTAAAATTCAGAGACCTCAGACTCGCTCTGTTGGAAGCTTTTTCAGCTTCCTGATGGATTGGACTGCCAAAAAAACCTGGTAGGTAAAGAAGTGCGTTCCAGCCAGCTGAACCAGTTAACACCTTGCTACCCACGTTGGATGCACAACAGCCGGAAGGACTCCAGTCCACGCAGTCCAAGTCTCTTACAGCTATTTCTTACAGAAATACAACCTGTCTCTCACACGTTCTTCCACGTGGGTTTAAGTTTTCCCCTCCTTTTGCGGAGGAGCATCCCAGAAAACAGGGCTGTAAGGTGATTCCACAGGTTAAGGGTGCTCGTTTCACACCAAGAGCGTGACTCTTGGTGGTGGGAGCTCTTCACTCACGCAGCTTCCCCTGGTCAATCATTTAAGCAGGAACAACTTCAGAGTTGCTCCCCAGAACTCTCCGGCTTTTGTATTAACTTTTTAATCAGAGTGGGGTCAGAGTGAAGAATGCCCAGCGCTAATAGATACTGGCTCATTATTCACCCTTTTTTTTTTTTTTTTAACGCATATTTCATGGCTATTGTTAATGCACATTTTTCACAGAGTAATTTTCCAAGCCTTAGCCTGTAACACATCCCAATGACAAATGCTCTTGATTTGGACTGTACCGTCAGCTGCAATGTCACATCAGACATTTTCTCAATGCCTGCTCCAGACAGGCCATCCAGTTTTATGATAGCTCTGTCTCAGTGATCACTATTGAACCTTAAGAATCCAGCGGCTTTTCAAGTTTAATTGAATAAAATTCTTAGCAATATAAATTCTTCATGAATGCTATATAAATCAGCTCCAGGATGGATTTATAGTATTTTCTTTTTTTTCCAGCTGGGGGGAAGGAATCTCACTACTGTTTTGGGACCAAAGCTGGTATTGTTTTGAGTGCAAGGAGGAATAAATTTAGCTACCGCACTTTTATACGATGTAGAGATTAAATTTATTAGAGTTCACTCAGCTTCCAGCTCGCCCCCTCTCCCTTTCTGCCCAAACAGCCCCGTGCAATTGTTTCAGCACAGCTGAAGCCCGGGAGGGCTGGTGTCTGGGGTGCCCCCGTTGTTCCGGATAAGCAGGCACCGGGGGCAGTGCCTGAATTTAGGCATGAGCCTGGTTCAGGCTGAGAGCAGTCCCAGCCCCAGGCGGCTGCAGCTCAGCAGAGCAGAGCAGAGCTCCCCCGAGGCCACGCTTGGCCCTTTGCAAGTTCTCAGCCTGCAGTGCTTGCAGTGCAGCACAGCCCTGGATGTATTAAAGGCACTCCTCTGTCCCAAATGCTACCCCTTAACAAGGGAAGTGCTGGCCATAAAGCTGCAGAAAGCCTTGGGGGAGCCCCTGGGATGGAAGCAGGGACCTTTTGCACCAAGCTCCCCAAAAAAGTCCCAGTGCAGCTGAGCTGGCAGCTGCTAGCGCTCAGGGAGCAGCACGCAGCAAGAGAGGGGCTGGGTGAGCAAAGTAGGAGTGAGAATTAAATCCAAACTTAATTCTCCCAGCGCTCTGCGTTAGCAGGTGTTGTTCCAAGTCCTTTGTCCCCACCTAGCACATCCAGCTGTACAACACGGGGATTCCGCTGCCTGCACCTCATTAATATCACGGGAGGGAGGCAGATGCTTTGTCCGTGCTGACCGTCTGCAGGGCCCAGACGCATTCCTGCCTAGCAGGGTGCCTTATTTATGATTATGTTGGATCTGCCAGCGCAGACATATGTTGGTGAGGGTCGTTTATTCTTGTTTGTAAAATGTATGGCTGCTCCTAGCTTACGCACTGTCAAAACTGGAAGAACTGGCCCCAAAATCTCTTGCTGCATGATTGGATCAGACGCCTGTACATCTGTTAACGCTGTAGGAGCTGTAAAATGAAATAAGTTTCACTATAACTCAAGCACCTCGATTACTGCCACAATGTGTAAGCAGCAGAGCCGGCTGCTGCTCGCGCAGAAATGACACAAACATACATTTTGCCAAGTTGTATGTAAATTTATAGAAGGCAGCATTTGCTCTGCTCGTGCAGAGGAGGAAGGGCTGGTACATGAGTGGGTCCCCACCCTGCCAGGAGGTGCAGGGGCTGCCTCCAAAAAGGAAGCCAAAAAACAGGGGCCAGCAGCGGTCCTGCACTGCTCCTGCCAGGCTGGAGGACCAAAAGGACCAGAAGGACCAGAGGCCAAATCCTCTGTACTCACAGGCCCCTGAAACACTCGTTTTGTCTGCAAGAAAACCCCTCCCTGCCCAAGCAGCAGTTTTACAGCAGGGTAAGCCCTGGCTAGCAGAGGACAGGCGTGCAGTTAAGGATCCCCAGACAAGAGCCAGAGCCCCTGCATCAGACACAAGCAGGCTGGGCCCTGGCTGTGCTGCACAAACCCATCCTGCTCTCACACCTCCGCAGCAGCCTGGCTGTTCAGCACCTGCACAGGTCCACAGGGCAGGACCGCTGGCCTGCAGTGGGTCAGGGACGTGGAACGGTCCCGGCGTGCACGGAGCCAGCCCCGGCGAGCTCCCCGCTTGCTGGCTCACCACGCAGCGCCGGCGAAGCAGGCATTTTGCAGGCCTGGCTGTCTCTTGCCAGCTTTCTGCCTTTGCAGCATCTGCTGTGGGGTTTCTTTTTGCTGTTTTTGACGGCACCATATGCCTCGGTGTCAAAACAATGGTGCTTGCACACTGACTGGGAGCCCTCTTCCACGCTCCCGCCGAGCGCCCTCTCCCCGGTCGAGCCGAGTGCCCACGGGGCCGCCCTGAGCACTGCGGGGCCGTCGGCACGGTGAGACCCGGCCAGGGGGGCACAATGTGGGGCTCTGAAGCTGAACCTGAACACGGAGGGGAAGCTGGACCCGTGGCGACAGGCACAGCTCCGCACTCCTGCAAGGAAGCGGATCCCAGAGCCAGGAGAGGGGAAAAGCCCGATGCAAAGGGCCCCACATGGGAAAAACAGCAGGGGCTTGAAGTCCAGCTTCCTTTACCCCTACCTCCAAGAAGCACCTCTTCTCTCCTGAAGGTTCTGAGGACTGAACTCACAGCACCCTGTGGATCTAACAGCGTTTCTCCAAGCATATTTTAAGACCCAAGGACAAATCCTGCTCAGAACAACCCTGCCAGGTGCCTCCAGGCTCAGAGCTGCTCTTACCACCCCCAGTAGCGCCCTAGGAGCCCATCTCAGGGCAACCCGAGCACATGAAAGGATCCAGCCTGACAAAGGGACATCCAAGTGACAGCAGCCTTCACCTGCTGGCAGAAAATCAATGCCCCAAAGCTCTGCTCCCACTCCTGCTGTGCGCCCTGAGCAGCAGCATTGCACCCAGCGGTTTCCCTGCCCCTAGGGGAAGGAAGAAGAGACGTCCACTCATCTTACTCATACCAGGTTTATTTTTCTCTTCCCTGCATTTCTTATCCAAGGGATGTACCAAAAGCTCCATGGCAGCAAGTCTTCCGTAGAAAAAACAGCCAATCTCCCACGGCAGAGCCATCCTGCCCTGCGAGGAACCCACGGCACGCAGCAGCGCGGGCAGGGAGCAGACACATTCACAGCCCTCTGCTACAGGAAAACCATCTTAAAACCTCTCGGTCAGCCAGGAGCCAGCTACTCAGGAGAAATATCCTTGTGCACGCGGCCACCAGGGCAGTTAGCAGACGATCACGTTTTATACGCCAGCTACAAATCGGATGTGGTATCTCCTAGTGCAATAATTCCAGGTTGGTGGGGACCTAGCAAAGGCTGCGCTACGATCTCTTCTAGGAACTGTGCTCCTGAGGAATAAGGGGGAAAGGGGAGCAAGGATTTTACCTCACTGGTTTCAACAAAACGGCTCACTGAACAGTCACTGTGCTCCATTTGGACACCGCGTTCTATGAGGGATCTTGTGCAAGGTTTCAAACTATGAACGGTGCAACCCAGAGCCTAAACCTCTCACCTACACAATCAATGACAGCTTAACGCTGAAATGCTATGGAAAAAACAAAAGAAAACCCTAACCAAATTATTTTTACTATCAACTTTAACTTTTCTGGACTTCATCCAGTACCTTGAGTTCTCTGGACGCAGACACTCCTGCCCTCACCAACTATTCCAATCACTCCTGCTCAATATTACTGAGACGACTCAAAAAAAGGACCCCAACATCGCTTCCAGGCA